CCACTCGCAGATGAGCTGTAGAGAACAAAGGACACATCATCGAGCAAACCCAGCCTGGAATCAGCACCAGGCGTGGAGCCATACCAGACTGGAGCAGCCAGACCCTCGCCTCTTCCAGTGTGCAGGCTGGCAAATAAGAAGTACCATCCCACAGCACCACCCCCCATGCCCGCTCCCCACCCTGCTCTGCCCCGTAAGCAACCGGCTTATCTGCAGAAGCACAGGCTGTGATGATAGCTATGGAGCTAAAATGCAATTGGATGCCTGCGGTGCTCTGCGGTTTCACTAACATTGTAGATCTAGGGCCTGTGGTCTGATCACAGGTTCAGGGGATAGCGGTACGCAGTGTGCATCTAGCAGAGATCTCCTTCTGAGGTTGCAGCCATTGTTGGTTCCCCATGGTCTTGTTTGAGAAGTCCTCTACTGTTTCCATTGTCTTGTTGGGTTGGGTTTTATTCTCTTTTGTTTTGTCTGATTATATCAAATCTAATGGCAGCAGCAGCTATTTCAAAGACAGCAAGATACATTAGGGTATCTATTTTGGATTTGCTGTTGGCTTGTTTCCAAGTCCTTTATTGCATTCATTGTCTTGTTTTTATTGTTTCTATTCTGCTCTGTTCTGTTTGATTTTTACTATGTCTGAAGTTATCTGCAGCTATTTTGAAGACGTTAAAAGACATTATGGTAACGATTGTTGATTTTGTAGTGTTTTTAGGCCTATACCTCTTACATTGGTTAGTTTTGATTGGTTTTATTGTTTTATCCTCTTTAAAATAAAAAATATTAAGATTTTAAAAAAGAAGTAAGGGAAAAAGCACGCAAATGTGGCAAAATATTAACAACTGGGGAATCTAAAGGTGCTCACTGAGCTATTCTTTAAACTCTTCTAAAGCATGCATTTTTACAAAAGGAAACCTTTAATTAAAAAAAAAAGAGGGGGGCTGGGGATTTAGCTCAGCGGCATAAGCGCCTGCCTTGCAAGCAGGCAGTCGTGAGTTCGATCTCTGGTACCAATAAAAATGAAAAAGACCAAAAAAAAAAAAAAAAAAAAGCGGAGACCTGCTTCATGATCCAAGGTGCTGACTCAAGACTAAGACTGGATATTTCCCCCCAACCCCAACTCAAACACAAAACCACTGAGGCAAACCATTATAATCTTTTTTTAAAAAGTGTAATGTACAAACAACAAAAGAGATGCCTTCACAGAGTATATGAGAGTTTTGACTCTCTAAGCCTAGTCCCTGATAGGCTAGACGCAAAGCTGAGGGTTTTATTTTGTTTTAAACCATAGTCACAAGAAGAGGGCTGAGCACTACCATATTTGAGAAACTACACTCTCTGATGTGAGACTTACTGAAACTATTTAACTTAATGCCACTAAGATCTGAAACTGAAAAAAGTGGTTTTTTTTTAATTCAGTGAAGTGAATAGCTTTATGTGCATGCATTCTCTACAGTTTTAAAAAAGGATTACAAAGACTTACAATGAGTTTTTAATAAACAGAAGCAATGTTTCTTTTTCTCCTTTAACAAAGGGATTTTAGTGTACTGTTTAAAAATGAAAGTATGAAGTACTGTCAGGAAGACACCAAAGATGTACCAAAGACATCAGCCAGAAATGTGAAGATGCCTAAAGGTTACCCTTCGTGTCTCTCAGAACTGACTCAACCCACACCACTCCTCTCCACTGTCATATCCCTTTCACCTCCGTACAGAGTAGAAAAGCAGCTTAAACAACGCTGAGACTTCTGCAGTCTTCAGAGTTTGTAAGTAACAGAGTGAAACTGACTCCTTTTACTTAGAGAAATGGTAACTGACAGGTTGGTGCCCAGGCACTAAATGCACACACAGAAGGGAAATGTAAGACAAACTGTACTTTTAAAAGGGCAAAAATGATCCTGTCAAATTCTTTTTATCATGAACTTTCCTCTCATGAACTATAACAAAAGAACAGGTATTTAAAGCAAAAATGTCTTATTTATTCAGATTTGAAATTTCTTTTTTTAACAGTTATAGTAGGACTATCAACATCCAAAAACTTGAAATATTTAGGAAACTGAGAATGTGAGAAATATATTATAACACATTAATTTTCCATTCAGTCGGAGTGATTAAACACTTAGTTCCACACTGACTTACTGTTGCAATACATAGCTTATATATTTGTGCTGTGCACTTGAGTGCGAGCTAAACAAAGTGAAATTTATCAACATAAAATACACACTGCATTTATCTCCCTCAAAATGTTTCTCCTCATTCAAACACACTGATCCCATCGTTCTCACCACCTTCTGAAGCAGTTCTGGAGTCCTCTTTCGTGCCTCAAAATCCTGAATTGATTTAAAACGTTGATTTCCATGGTTACTTTGACTTTGGGGAAGAGTTAGAAGTCCCATGGTGTCAGACCCATGGAATAGTTTTCATAAGACAGGCTTTCTACTGAACGGCGCTTGGCAACAGTATCCACCAGTTTTTGATCACACCTTATAAGGACATTTAAAAAAGGATTCCAGAACTGCTAAAAAAAAACAACAAAAAACACTGGCAAGAACACCAGGGTGTGTTTGAAGTGAGAAGGAGAATTATGAGGGCAATGCATATGAGGGCAATGCATTATGAGAATTAATAGCAATGCAACTTTTATTGTAATAAATGTTATTTAAATAAACACACCAAATTTTTATTAGCCTATTTCTACCTGTGCTAGTGTATTAAAAATGCTTTAAGGCTGAATTTTTAAAATTTGTCAGAAGCTATTGGTATAAATATAGCATTTATTTTTGGAATTATTACTAAAAAAAATCCATGAATAAGAAGTAAACTCACATACTGATTTTTACTCAATTTTATCTTATTTTCTTTCCCTAGGTTCTGGTTCATATACCAAAGCTTTATAGCTTAATTCTGAGCAGAAAGTATTTCTAAAATAAAAGTATCTAAAATGGTTGGTACCTTAAGACATATTTTTATGTTCTTACATACAAGTTTCTATATTTTGAGTAGACAATAGCATTTTATTCTTAGGAAATGTTATTTTTACTACAAACTCGCCTTTTTAGCAGCTATACATAAGAATAGTAGAATTTCTATATGTTTCTACATTTTTCTTTACCAGAAAAAAATTTAGACAGACTTTTAGAAGTAAAATAAGAAAACCAAAATATATTAAAACATGGAGATGACTAAATAGGTCCCATTTCTTTTTTCTTATGCCATTCTTCTTTTATCGAAGGCACTAAATATTAGCGACAAAAGCTGAAAATGAATATAGAATGCTTAGCAGGATGCTCAACCCATCAGAGGTACTTCATAAATTAGTTTGTGTTTCCTTCCAGTAATGACAAATACCAGTCCCCTAATAGTTCCTGGTGTATTAAATTATTGGGAGGACAATTCTACCCCTTCACAGCTTATCGTTCCATAAAATATAACTCCTGAACTTACCACCTCATTTATACCAAACTGATTCCTGGTTGGGTTTTTTTTAATCATTTTTTTTCTTCTTGGAATCCGGGATCGCACTCATGACCTCGCGCTTGCAAGACAGGCACTTGTGCCGCTGAGCTATATCCTGGCCCAATTCCTGTTTTTACAGATTTTCTAATTGCCATTCTGGAAATAAGTGAAAGATCTGATTTGATTTGACTTCTTTCTTTACTTCCTTACTTCTGACACCCCATCCTCTCCCCATTTCCAGTCAAATCTTTCCAAGGTATACTGGACACACATATAGGGAGGGGTGTGAGAAATAATAGTGTTTCACAACTACCCAATATCCTAGAGCCCTAATCCATCAATTAACAGGAAGTATACTGTATAACAAATACTCATGGAACTTACACATAAATAAAGGCTGCATGTCACACAGTTTGAAGTTGAAAGGGAGGTTATTTATTCCAAAACTATTAGCTATGTTTCTGTTGAAAGATTTTCACATCTTGAAGACAAAATACACAACACTCTATTTTCAGTCCTTGTTTCCATCACTGGTCATAAAGGTTATGCTTGACAGGTCTGCTCTTGATAAAATTTGGTGCTTTACTGAGATAAACATACCTAATTCCACAATAGGCAATCTACACTTTGTTCTCATCATTTAAAAATAAATATGCTTTGAGATTACAAAAAGCTCAGGAGGCTAAAGTATGTACCATCCTCAAATAGCAAATTTTCCCATTTTCTGTCATTATAGAACTGGTCATTATAAAACAAGTAAAGTATGCCACTAACTGCTAACAAATTTTTAGAAATTCAACCATAAAGCACGGTTAGTGGTATAGCACAGGTAGAAATAAGGTAATTTTATGAAATAAATTAGCCATTTGTAGTAGCACTTCATTCATCTTCTGTCTCTTAGAGCACAAGGTACCCTACAAGGTGTCCATTTCAATGCATGCTCAAACTACTTTGGATAGAAATGTCTTAACTGCATCCTGTACTTGCCTGCCAGTTCAGGTAGGACAATATTTTAAACTTAATGGAGCGCTGTTACAGAGCTCTCCGGTTTATTGAGGAATAAGACAGCAGGAGCTTGAGGGGTGTTAACACCTGCAAAGCAATTTGCTCCTATTCCAGATGGCTTGGCAACCCTAAGTTCTTAAACCTTCACTGTAAATTTTCCCGCCCCTAATGAAAAGCTCTGTCACCACTGTTTCTAAGTCTTCTTCAGTCATCTGATAAACCACTGCTTCTAAACTGGCCAGGAAATCAGAAAGCCATGGAAATAGCAATCTTACCACAAGCAAGAATAAACACACAGAGTGAGATTCTCCAATTAAAAAGGTACCTGGGCTTAGGCCACAGTGTGACGTAAATTTAGTCACTCAAAAGGCATTTTCAATTGTTTCCTAACTCATGACTATATCAGATCAGTGTTCCTCGGCAACAAGTTATTACTCTCAGAAATAAATCTCTGTATACCTTCTTGCCTAATAACAGTCAACTTTTAAATCTTACTAGGTTCACCAGTAGTAAGCAAAACCTTGTAACAGTCACACTTACCTGAGGCACGCCTTGTGAATCTGTTTATTGCTGGAGCTAAAAGAAAAAAGAAGAAGAATATAATTAGATTTAAAAGATTTTAATTTTTCCAAAATCCTGAAAAGGCTCGAATTAATAATTCCATAATTTAAACACAGAGAAATATGAATGAATTAATAATACAAAAGGAAATAAAAGCATACAAAATAAGTAAATTCACTAATTCAACTATAACTGAAAGTCAGTATTTTATTTATTAAGTTAGTTTCCCCCAAAACACTTGAAATAAAAAAATCCTAGGTAACAAATATCTGAAACTACTTAATTGGGACAATGTAAATCTATGTAATACCTTCAGAAAACAAGTTGTCAGTTACACCAAGTGCCATAAGAGGTTTACATCCTTTAAATGAACAATTATACTTTTAAACATTTATTCTAAGGAGGTAGTTCTAAAGAAGAAAGAAAATAATCAGCAGATCTGTTTGGCAGAATTTTTAAAATGAAAAAGTTAAGAAGCAAAACTAAAAATGTTCCTGTACATGGACTTTGTTCTTAGCTGAAAGTCAAGTGAGTATATCCTTGAATGTTTGTGGTTTGACCATTTCTGTGCAACCCACGACCATGACATGCACATCTGTACCCCAAAAGCTGCAGGCCTGGGCCGATGCATGCATCCTCGAGCTGGCAAGCCTGCCACCTGCCCACACCCTGACTCAACTCAGCTCTGCTTCTTGGGTTTGCTGACACAGTTATCTCAAGAGTAGAAGACTTATTTTTTTATTTTATTGCCTGCAAGTAGGTAAATTTATGGCTCATATTATATAAGAATAGCATGTACTACACTATCGATTTTGGTAGCAGAATGTCATGAACCTACTATAATACTTTTTAATACTTTTAAAATAGTAATTATCAAAGTTGCTTATGTTATGAAAATGCTTAGGTCAAATAAAAAGATAAAATTTAATCGGCATTATGCTACACACTGCACGAAGAACTTGTATGCACAGCAACAAGGCCTAGAAGAAAACTGCCAGATGTTTTCATTAATCCTTACAACCATACTATAAATACCAGGCCCTGTATGTTACTGATGAGGAAATTTTACAGTAAGGCGTAGGTAAATGAATTTGCTTTAGATCACACAGCCACCCTGTGCCAAGCTGGAGAATCTGAACCGAGGAGCACAGTACCCAGCAGTAAAACCCTGCCTCATACAGAGCCCAAAGCGAAGATGCTGGAACTCATACCATAGGAGGTTAATGTTTTCTTTCACACTGATCTTCATTGTAATTAAAAAATGAACTGTGAAATAATGCACAAATGCAATTTCTGACATAGTATAGTTTGTAGTAAAATTACACCCTTCAATGTGATCAAGATAAAATTCTTTATATACCAAAATAATTTAGCCATATTATGCACAGTCAAAATGTAGGTACTTACACAAAAGATGTTCAGTAGGTAAAATGTGTATGTGTTTTACCATATATACAAAAAGAATTGGTTTTCTTGGATACCTTCAAACCCCCTTTTGCAACCCCTGGGAACCCAGTCTAAAGAGAGCCTCCCTACCAAGCTACAAGGACAGAGACTACAGACAAAGTGCAAACACATTCAACCACAGGAATGCGGAACACAGAGAGCAAGCAGATAAGCCAAAGGTGAAGGTTAAAAACCTATCTCAGCCTTGGGGCAAAAATAGAGCAGTCATTCCCTGCACTCCTGCCCTCCAAAGAATGAACCTCAGGGCCTTAAGCTTTGGGCTTGACAGGAAGCATCGGTTCTCTCAGGGGCTTGGGATTCTACATCCTTCTGAGGTGTTTGAGGTGAAGGCTTTCCCACAGTCTTCTCATCTAAAACCAATGTCTGATGTGTACCTTGGCTCCCTCTTTCTCTCCCTTCTTTCCTTTCTTCCCCCCTTTGCTGGGGATGGACAGACGCCAGGGCCTCTCACATGCTACCCAAGTGATCTACACTAACACACCTCCCTGCCCTCTAGACTGTTTTCTAAATGTGTGAGGATAATTTTGATTGTCACACAACAGAGGCTACCCTTGACATTTGGCAGGCAAACTCCAGAACAGTGCTGCACAAGAAAGAGCTGTCCTGTACCCCACTCTTGTTCTGTACGACTTGCAGATATCCTTCTGGGCCTTCATTTTGGCAAAAAGTCCATTTATAACTATCTGAGCCTAGATCCTAACTGCTGCATACATACACAGGATCATTTAGGCAGTTTTAATATAATCAAAAATTTCCCAATACAATGAGAACATAAAAGTACACAGAGCAAGTCTCTTTGTCCCCACTTATTTTCTGGCCACACTAAGTGTGGACGTTGACGCTGAAGTTGCTGACAAAATCACTGCCCTGAAGGGCTCGACTAAATCCAGCAGCACTTTCTAACGCAACTGTTTCAAGGACTTACATCCTGCAAGTAGCTACATAATTCAGAAAATTTAGGTGCGAGAGAAGTTTAGTAGAAGACTGGGAAACTTAAGAGAAGTTCATAAAAATAAAAGCAGTCAGTTGACGCAGGAAGCTGAGAGTTTGGTCTTCACAAAGGAAGCCAGGCTAACAGCTGTGCATGTACAGCTTGCGTCTCAGCACACATTGCTGAGACAGAAATTCCAGGTTACAAAAAAAAGACCTCTGAGCTGTGAACTGTGCTCAGAAATATGCGTGCACACACACGCAAAATTTGAAAACAAATAAAAGGAGCCATTAAAAAAATCCACCCTATTTATCTACTGGAGTTGAATGGGCTTTTGCAGAAAAGTTTTGTAAAGTAAAATTCACACAACTCCCTTAGATTCAGCTAAATAATTAGCATCACTGTCCTCCCGAGTTGCCTTTTCCAGCAGTAAACATTTTCTGAATCTATTAACTGCCTTAATAACAGATTCTAGAAACTATAAATTGAAACCATGTAAGCTACTCATTTTTGACAGAGTAAATACTCAATTCAGAATAAATTAATTTCTCCCAGGCCTGTGCTTCAAAAATTAACATGATCTAAGGCTCACCCCGGAAGCAAGAAAAAGCTGACTTTTTAAAAAGATCAATGGCAAATAAACAATGAATTTGAAATATTCTGCAGATTAACCTAATGTGTACATTCACATGCTTCATACAAGTGTAGACAAAAACATTTATTGTCTATGTTTTTGCTAACAGATGATGAACCTGGACTACTTTTAGAAATACTTGATACCGTCCTGCAGCTACGGTCTATAGTCCAGACACAAGGTATGTAAGCAGAGATTTGGCTTCTATTACTGGAATGACACCTGGAAAGTACTGTCCAAAGCGTCATGGTGTTTATTAATCCTGTGGAGACACAGATTATAAACCACACACCTCAACATACCTCTTACTATCAGATAGGAAGGGAACTGTGTGAAACACAGGCCTTTGGGGGGCCAAGCTTCTCCCTTTCTTGTTAAATGGTACTGAGGGCTGAACCCCGGGCTCCACACTGAACACTTAGCCCTTTTTAAAACACTTTTGTTTTAGATTTTGAGACCGTCTTGCTGAGTTTCTGGGATGAACTTGAACCTACAGTCTTCCCGTCTCAGCCCTTCGGGATTACATTCCTCGCTTTCCTATTATATAACACGAGGCACACAGATCAAGTATACAGTCTACCGACTCACTTGGATCCTGACTGAAAAGTGGGCAGAGGAGCTGAAATATTAAAGCTGCTTTGGCTTTTCGAATGTGCTAACTTTAATGAGCACTAAAAAGGTTCACATTTCCTTTTACTTATAAACTAAATTTGCAAACAGTGCAATAATATGTTATGATGTAAGCAGGAGAAAAGCACTTACTTTTGCTTATGAGTCAATATGGGTCTCAACTATTTAATTCATGATGTCTTTACCAACAATGGTCTCCTAGGAAAAAAAATAGTTTCCACTAGCAAAGTCCCAAAGCTGCTAACCTTATACAGAAAACCACTCGCAGAGGTGAGGCAATAACGTTGTAAAACCAACGGCCCCCACACACCTTCTGCATTTTAAATACATCCTGCTCAGGAAAAGGACACTGTCAAAACTACGTAAATTCAATCTCTGCTGCTCCATGCACCAAACTGTCCCTTCCAAAGCTGTCGAGTCAGACACAGCCACAAAGGGCAGATTTATGGAGTCCAGTGTCCTGATGCTAGCACTCAACAGTCTGGACTACATCATCAGGCTACGAGTTCAAACTGCCGCAAGGCATCACAATGAACGCTCCACAAAGGGTAACTTAGAAAAACGTAAGGCTTCAAAATGAAGATTAAATGAGGAAACAGAGTAGTATGATCAAAGCCTACTCATGAAAGCATGGCCATAAAAAGTATTCCTATTTAAAACTTTCCCTGTATCTTCACAGGAGGAAGGTCTCTATTCCTGCCACTCCAGTCCTGCTCCAAGGCTCCGTCCTCAGGAAGCCCTTCTCAAACACTCCACGTAAAGTGGCCCTTCTAGTTCCTCTCAGTCACAGCACACTGTTTCACTGTCTCCAGTAGAATTAGCTGTGAAGACATGTAGTGTTTTACTCTCTGACCCTAACACACACACACACACACACACACACACACACACACCCCAAACTATGTATGCTCCAGGGGCGGCCAGGTCTCTTTCCTTGTCTGTTTCATTGTTGTACCTCAGTACCTAGGTACAACATGCTGTTAGAGAGACACATAGACAGACAGACAGACAGAAAGACAGAAGAAGGTAAAACTAATAGGTTTAACAAATGAGTAAACAGTACTAAGGAAAAATATAATGGAATATCTCTCGATACCTAGAATTATGTGGACAAATGTAAGTGAAATTTATACAAGTGCTAAATTTGTAAACTTGTAAGTAAAAATATAGTACTGGACAAGATATCACGCCTGTATCTTGTACTTTGAATACCAAGAAGACAACAATACATGCTGTATTAATTGTTGTAACTTGCCCACTAACCTATTTTGGAACTTCTTTTCCTCTTTAAATAAAAAAATATACAGAACTGGTTGGAAATGCAATAGATTTTAAAATACTGTACATACTGAC